GTGCATAATCAGTGCAATAGGTAGTCAGATCTCAGAAAACCTTTCTTTTTTAGGCAATCCTGTCTCTCTTGTTTGTGTTTGAAACTGTTCTAACCGTTGGTTTTCATGTTACGTTATATAGGTAATCCTAGTGCAGATTCGTCCAACTTATTGAAAAAGACAGTACCAAAGCGCCTGATAGAAAAAAAAAGTGACCATGAAAGTATGTATTAGCTCTTAAATTTGGGAACTGAACTCCCTTTCTAAACGTATAAACACCTATATTGTATCAGGAGTTACGGTTTGAACTTAGGCGTGCAAAAGATCATTTAAAAAAACAAACTTCAAAAAATGGGTTTTATTTCTTAAATTCTTCCTTTTTTCCCTTAAGGGAAAAAGTAACATAACTATAAGAGAGCTTAATCGGTGACGTCTTAGATTATTAAAAACGCATCTCCTTTAGCGCTCACGAAAAAAAAGAAAAAAAAAACGGATTTTACACTAAACCCTAGAGCCGTGACATACCTAATAATCATATTATTCTACATAATATATCATGGGGTACTTTTATTCAACTATCAGTTTTCCAGCTTTATTTCGTGGCAGCAACCAATTGCCTTATAGTTAAAGATAGCCTCTTTAGCGAGGACAGGATATAATTGCGATTAATTTAGTTATGAATTTTTAATTTTAGTTATGCGCAATACAGGAAAACAAGCCCCGCCAGCGAAATGTCAAGGCTGATGCAGCTCACTGCATTTTGGTTGTTTCGTAAAAAACTTCTACTTCGTCTGGTGAGAACCCGTAAGTTCCTGCCAGGAATGTTCTGGCGAAGGTGCTGCGGAAGCTGTACCCGCTAGGTGGGCTGTAAGTATGGCCAATGTCGCTGTAAGAATTTATATTGGACCACGCGTAGTTGGAAATGTAAATGTCATATCCACCTCCGAATGTAGGCCCATTGTTTTTGTAACCGTATATGGATCTTTTTTTTGAAGCATATATCCCTGTTTGAGGCAATTTGACAGGTGCCCATCCTGGCTTGTTCACCAGTGAAAACAGAAACGCTTTTGAATCGTATTGATAAGTGGCACCTTGGGGTGAGAAAGAAAAGAAAAAGAAGTAAGTGCTAATAGCAACATTGTCGTAGTACTCACAGCAAAGCCATCCATCCGATCCATATAATGTTCCTTTTTTAAGGTAAGCAGATATACAAGAAAAAGGCTCGTAGACAGTTACTGCGGCGAA